ACTAGCAGTGAGGAGTCTGAATTAGCTGTGACTGCCTGATTTGAAGCTCTCTGTTCACGGCATGCTGAACTCAGCCATGACTCGCAGCTGTACGCTAATGCTTGTATTTGATACCCTGAGAGATAGTGAGGCAGTTACAGCACAGCTTCCAGCACGTGTTACATTCCTGCTGACCAGGGCTGAGAGTCATCTCTGTGGGGAAGGGGAGGAGAGGAAGTAATCTATAAATAGCTCATAGATAATACAGATTTGAGTTAAGGTATTTTATTTCCCTTTCTCTACAGCAGTGGCTACTGATTCTGAAAAAGATGCAAGCCTGTGATTAAGTCAGAAAGCCCTCGGATACTCTATTTACTGCTGTTGCCATTGCACATGATAACAGAGAGCAGTTACCTTTGTTCCTGTGTTGAACGTCTTGAGTGTCAGTGTGACCTGCTACATGGGTGGCTCTTGCTGCAGGTCTTCCTCTTGTTTTTCTTCTTCTCTGTCTGTCATGTTTTTATTTCCCTGGATACTTCTTACTTCACAAACACCTATCTTGAAACATGAATGTGAAGCTTGCATTATGCTGGAATTAAAACCAATCTAAGTGAAACCAACATCCTGCCTAGTAGCTTTATAAAACTGGGGAATAATGAAGCAAGTCATCAAATTCAACAGTCCTGCTGCTGTGGTAAAAACAAGTGCCAAACCAGGACAGTTGCTTATCCTGCATTTCAGTAGCAATATGAGCTTCATTTACAGCTCTGTATTGACAGGTTCTTTACATTAATTGTTATTGCTGGTGAAAATTGCTTTATTAGTGTATCACAGCTCCTGCAAAATGGTGGAGTCGGTATTTGTCAGCAGCACTGTGTAAGTGCTCTTGCATGGACAGAAACCTTCAGAGCATGCAGGACTTTGATTTGCATTTAAAAGCAGGAGCTTTATTTAAGCCTCCCCCCCATTAGTAAGGCATGGAAGCATTATAAACAAGTGAAAGGAATTTATTTCAGGATATGAACACCTTAAATAAAATTGAGATGCTGATTCTTCTAGAGGGCAAGCTGTTGAATTTCATGCAATGTGCTAGTATTCGGGCTGCTATGACTCTGAAATCCAGGGCTGTCAGCCTTAATATGGTGGTGTGCCCAAGTTCAGTTATTTTCTGACAACATCTGAATGCCCACCTTCCTTATGGTTATAAGAACTCCAGTATTGCATCCTAATGTCTTAAGAGCCCTTTAGTTTTGTCAAGAAGCTGTATTTCAGTTTCCCAACTTTGTCAAGAGCTGTAGTAAATCTGTCAGTCATACCTGTAGGATGATCTGAAGTTAAAGTTAGCTCTTTGAGCCAGGCATTAGAACCAGGTGACCTCTTGAGGTGTCTTCCAGCCTACATTATTCTGTGGTTATGCAGCGAGGCAGGATGCTTGCAGAGTAGAAATCGTGTGGCATGTGTTCAAAGAAGCTTTGAAAGTGGTGAGGGAGAAGGTGCTGAGCCATGTCACACTGGATACTGTGCAGACATCAGTGACAGTTCCTGCCCTGAGGGGCCTGTCTTCTGAACCAGCAGAGAAACCTAATAGAGGGCACAGGCAAACATCCTTCTGCATAGAACATGAGGATGTACCTGTGAGTTCAGACTCTGTATGGGTTTGAATCGTATCAGATTACCTCACTGGGACCCTGTTTTCCCAAGTGTTACCTTAAAAGAGCAGTTGTGATCTGTGCACTTTGGAATTACAGTATGAGCAAAGGAGAGAACTTCCGATGCTTTGCATCGCTGTTTGAAAACAGGCACGGGGCCTCCTACTGAAAAATGGAGCTTTTTGTTTAGGTGCCTGGCTCAAGCTTGGCCCAGGAAGTAAAGAACAGAGGCTTGCAATTGAAAAGAGCTGGCAGGTTTTCTGCTAGTTTATAGTGAAACGGGTTCCCAAATTAGCTTCCTTGACAGAAAACATGAACTGTTTTTTCACTTACGGGTCAAGCTGGAGTTACTCTGCTAGGCATGAGCACAAAGAGGCTGAATGAATGGGAAAGAGAAGTGTTTTCTTGCTTCCCTGCTCCTGCTTTTAAGGTGTTTCTACCACCAGTGTCAGTTACAACTTAAGTGCATTTTCTTTTGAGAGATTATTTGGGACCTACCTGCATAATGAACTTCCTGTGCAAAGCAGGTCTGTGTTAATGTATTGGTCAGCCATAGAAACTGAGGCCTGTAAACTTGGGTTTAAGATATCTCATTAATATTTAATGGTTGTAGCTACTTCTGGGGTCACTGTTTTAGGGAAGCACCCAACAATATTAATATGAAGTTGTCTTATCCTAGGAAAACTTGGATTCCTGCTATGGGCATCTCCTTTTATTAGTTGTCCCTATGATTCTGTCGGTGGTTATCTAGGCATAGAGCTGAGTATCTGAAAGCTGCTTAAATTAAGCTAGTCTCTTACAGGATTTGTTTTGATCATGCATGTCATTATAGCCAAATCAGAAATAGGTACATTTAGATGTAATGTCATTATTTAGCATTTCTTTTCAGCTCAGGCTAGGCTGAGAAAAGGAAGAAAAAAGATTTCTTCTTGATGTTCTGAAATGAGAACAGTAGCTCCAGGACAGCTGGTACATTGCAATTAAGAGAGTCTAAGTTCCAATTCAGATGCTTGATATCATTATTACATGGAGACATTGATTAATGGAAATAGAAAATGTCTTCAGTATTTGGCGAATTAAATACATCAGTTCTTAAAAGGAAGTCTTCATCTTAAGAAGCTCCTTAGTGTCATGGCTATGTTAATATAATGAGTATTAGGATAAAGGATTAGAATGTCTTGCCATGCTTGATGGTTTTGAGTCTAGACATCAGAAAAGATGCATTCATACAAGAGCATTCTTTCAGGAAGAAAATGACTTCTCGGTGCTGAAGGGTTGCAGTTCTGTGAAAAACATGGGAAGCCCAACATCCCATGAGTATGCTGGGACTTAGAAAGAGATGAGAGACCTGAGGACTGAGTGTTCGTCCTCTCAGATGTGAAGTTTCCAACGGCTGAGAAATGGTGTTTTTAAACCTTTGAGCAATAATTGCATCTGCGTTAATGTAATTTCTTGGTGAGCTTCTTGGAACACTTGGAAGCTGGTAGCTGCCTGGGTGCTCAGGCTTGTGACGATAAAAGCTTTCAAGAAAGGAATTAAAATATTGGCAAATGGCCCTGAATGCCCGTCGGAACATGTCTGAGCAAAACCCTCAGTTGGCTTAATGTTTGGTGCATTAGCAGAGTTCTGGTGTCCTGGAACATGCTGGTTCTGAAAACAGAAGGTGGGACCCCAGGCTAGGTGTAGCTTGATTCAGCTCTTGCAACATAGTGAGGTTTGGATGTGTTTGCAGTTGTCTTTGAATCCTAGTTGCCATGTCTCCCTGCATCCCTATTACCTGTGCTTCATCAAAGTTTCTTCATAGCAGTTTGATGAGAATTAGGTGTTTGAAATGTGTGCTGCAGGCTGAGAACTGCCTAAACCATTGCTAATGGCATGTGGTAATGGTTAAACCTGTATTGGTGGGACTCAAAAGAGCCGATTTATTTCAGGCACTGTGTTGTATGAACTTGTTTCACGGTCTTTTTGAGGGTGAACTGGTATGTTACAGAAGAACTGGGTTCATTGCTTAGTGCTACTAAGAGTGAGGTCCTGGTACAACTGCTGCTGCTTCAGTTACATGGGCCTGTGCCAGCTTTGTGTTCACCAGAGGCACTGCAGAAGCAGCTCAGCTAGCAGATCACCACTTTTAAACCCAGGTTAGCTTTTGCTGGGCTAGCAAGTCGTATTATTTCAACGAAAGATTGAGTGGTCTTGATCCTTTGTTGAAGAAAGGGCTGGTGTGAATCAGCCTGAACTTGGCTCAACAGCAGCCTCCACATCTCCCTTGCATTGTGTATGTGTGTTTATATTTAAGATTGCTGTTAGATATTTTCTTTTGCCTCTGCATTTTAAGCATATTTTTGTCTATTTATTTAATAAGATCGCTTGAGAAAGAGCACTCAACATAGAGACATTGTTGCATTATCCCCCATTTGGGACTGTGCTTTGTCTGGGAGGCAGGTTTATCAGGCAAGGTTATTTTTTAGGAGAGCTGCTGGGACTCATCAATTGCATGTGTGTAAAACCACCTGACAGTTTTAAAAGGCATTCTAACTTATTTTCTTTATTAAAAAACCTTTGAGCTGAGTTTGAGCTTCCTAATGCTGTTACTTAATGCTAATTTCTGCTCCTTAAGCATAGGCATGTTTGGATATCTAAGTTTATAAAAGGGCATGGATCCATACAATAGTGGAGGGCTGGACCTTGGAGCATCTTCATGAGATAGCTCTTCTTGCCTAAAGAGGAGGCTAAATGCAGCTTCCAAAGTGAGTAGCTAGTGATGTCTGTATTACCTGCTCTGGGAGACTTTTTGTCTTTCCTTCAGCCTCTGACAGGCCTGTTTGATGCTGTGGAGACCATTTCAAATCTGTGTTCTAGAGTCTGCTTAAATACTTATTTTGAGTTGAAAGACTATAGCTGAGAGCCCCATGGAAAGGTATTCTTTCTACTGAAAGGCTCCTGCTCTTCCGAACTTTAAAACAAATATCCAAGGAGAAAGGACCACCAAGACTGTGACAGGCAGTCTGCTGCTGTTGCAGGCTTTCATGTTCTAGATAGGAAGTTTCACCTTTAGTGTCTGAGTATGTCTATCACAAAGTTCAGCTGTTTTGCCGGGGTAAGCTGGAGGTGGCAAAGTGGTTGTGCTGTTAATAGCTTTTATGCATATTGATGGCTTGCTCTACAACAGAACAGTAAGTATGAAAAGACTGGCCTGTGCTTCATAGCTCAGACCTAAATGTGGAGGTAATTAAAAGGGTGCAGATTGACATGAAGAGAAATTTAAATGCAGACTGTTATTTTGTTTGGATCAGATGATCCTCTGGAACTTTTAAATTTAAATACTCTGTAGTGAAACTATATGTAAATGCATCTCTCATCTTTCCTTTTCAGGTGGCTATGGTAGAAGTTCAGCTAGATGCAGAACATGACTACCCTCAAGGTCTCTTGATAGCCTTCAGTGCCTGTACTACTGTTCTTGTTGCAGTTCACCTTTTTGCACTCATGATAAGTACCTGCATTCTTCCGAACATAGAGGCTGTTAGCAACGTGCATAATCTCAACTCCGTAAAGGAATCTCCTCACGAGCGTATGCATCGGCACATCGAGCTGGCATGGGCATTTTCAACTGTCATTGGGACTTTGCTCTTTCTTGCAGAGGTGGTGTTACTGTGCTGGGTGAAGTTTCTTCCTTTAAAGAAGAAAACTGACAATCCACTCCAGAGCAACAGTACTACTACCATCACATCGGGACAGGCAGCAGCCATTGCATCAACGTCTATTATGGTTCCCTTTGGACTGATTTTCATCGTGTTTGCAGTGCACTTCTACAGGTCACTGGTGAGCCATAAAACAGACAGGCAATTTCAAGAACTGAATGAACTTGCTGAATTTGCACGGCTCCAGGATCAGCTGGATCACAGAGGTGACACCATCTCCTCAGCAGTTACCCATTTTGCGTAAACCTGTACTTAAAATAAACCCACTCTTCTGCTTCTGCCTTGTTCTGTTGGCTCCCCTGCGGATGACCTGGTCAAACTGTTGATTACCATTTAAAGAGAGATTATAAATGTTGTTCTGACCCTTGAGAGAGGAGGAAAAAATGTTTCTTTCATAAAACTTTAGCTGTTTGAAGGTATGGTTGGTAGTGTGTGCTCACACTGTGTGTGCACCCCTCCTCTTGTGAAAACTTGTTTCTTGTTAATGCTGGATGGAGGCTGTATAAACACATGGAAAATAACATCGTAAATGAGGATGTTTGTTAGGGATGGATAGAGAAGCTTCCTTTTTTCCCTCCTCTCTGTATTTGATGTTGGCATTTAGAAGATACTGCTTGTCCCATCCATATTGCATGGCATGATAACAAATTACTTGGGATATGCAGCAATTAGCACTTGGTTTCAGTGCTAGTGCTGTTCTCTCTAGAAGGCCTAACAGATGGGAGAAGTGAAAGCTTTTCACCACCTTCCCCACTAGGTTTTGCTGCCAAGTAATTGTTACTCTGATTTCTCCAGCGCCTTTTCACATTGTATAACCTGCTAAACACCCATGACTAGTCTTACTGTGATGTGGTATGGCCACATGAGTAGGAATGAGACTCGACTCTACTCTTCCTTGGAAGAAAATAAAAGCAATAACTGTTTTTAAAGTTCTCACAAGTTGGCACATATTATCTGAAGAGATAATTTGCCTGTTTCCCATTTAGGAATCTCTTTTTAACAAGAAGGAACTAAATGGAAATTATCACTGGATAATTTTTATTGCTTGAAAATCAAAACCACTGCTGTGTTTTTTCCAAGCCAAAGTAGTGATTATTTTATACTTTTATGTTAAAAATGTATTTTTAATAAATCCTCAGATACAAGCAGCAAACGGTGCTTTCTCTGCATTGAATTCCCAAGTAATTCGCTATGCCTTGGTCTTCCTTGTTTAGAAAAAGCCTTCTCCTTGCTGAAGTGTTGTATTTAATAACTTGTTACACAGTTTTGGCTTCCAAAGGATCTGGAAGACTCCTCTATGTGTATTTATTTATGGGAGTAGGTTATTTGTAATTAATACTGCTGTTTGCTTTCAGACACAGTCTGGCAGTGAGTCTAGTGTCGCTTCTTATTTCTTCTTTAAGCAGAAACTTCCTTTTGGTCTCTCAGATAAGAGGTTTGTCCATGAAGGGTTGCAGCACTTGTCCTGGGCTGCTTCAGGAATTCCAGCTATGTCTAGAGGTGGAATTTTTGGAATGCAGTTCTTTTGAACACAAATTGAGGCAGATTTCAAGTCAAATGGAACAAAACTTGACCTCCCCTTCGTAGCTAACACTGTGGAATAAAAACCTGGGATTTTGAAATTGGACAGGAGTGAATGTGACAATACAGTGGGGCTGTACCTGACTGTGACTGGGCTGAACGTGGCCTCACATACCCACAGCCTTGCCTCAGGTTATCTCAATGCATTTACAAACTGTAGGATGTGTTTACTACAGAGTTAGTGTGGCAGAATGCGTTGAGTACTGAAGCAGCCTCATGAAGCACATGGGACTGATTCTTCATGTCAGCACCACCACAGTGAAATGTGTTGACAAGGCTACCTGTGGTGTTTGCATTCTGAAAAATAGCTATAAAACACAAGCTGCTGGGCTTTTTTCCCCAGCAACATTCTTGGTTCATAGGCAGAAAAGAGCTTTCCACTTCCTATCTTTTAAAGACTATCAAAGTCCTTTTGGCATACACAGGCTAAACTGGATTTTCCCTAGTTCTGTCATTGTGCTTCAGATACATTCTGTTCCTGATGTAAATCTGATGTTGAGAATTGTGACTGCAGTCCCACAGCTGCTTATTTATGGAGCACTGGAAGGATTATGTTAGTGAAGGCATTCATGAAGCAGCATTCCAAAATGTGAAATCTTGGTAGCAGGCACAAAATACATATTCCCATTACAGGAATACTCATCTTTAGGGGAAAAAGACTCTCAAAAGTACTCAGTAAAGGAAGAAAACCTTGCACATTAGAGCCAGGGGTGCTGTCAGACTTAACGATTACTCTTCTGTCCATAAACTGAGTATGTAAAAGTTGCCATGTGATTTTGAATGAAAGTCCAGAAAATGTATTTTCTAAGTTTATTTTGTAAAATTACTTGCTCTCGTGGATAAGTAACTGAATTTCTCTTTATTTTGTGGATCTTTTACCAAACGACAGAGAAGTGTGTGGAGTTTTTGTTTGTATAAGGATTGCAGACTTAGAAGCTAGTGAGACAACCTTCTTTTTAACTTTCTCAAGCTGGTAGGTTCTGAGCTAATGGTGCTGTTACTACAGCTGCTTTTCTGACTGTTTTCTGCACTTTAAGCCATGATATTGAGTATGCGTCTCGTTTTCCACCTGTGGAAATGGTCGTGAAAGTTACACCTTGGGCACAGTCTTGTAACTGGGTGCCAGAGGCAGTGAACAGACCTGGACAGATGGATCTAAACACTGAGTGCACTTAGAATTTTTTAATCCCTTATTTATACTAATGGTGTTATGCATTTACCTCAAGCCTTTTAAACATTGGTTATTGTATATCTCTTATTTAGATATAAAATACTTCAGTGAAATAAAATGTACTCTATTGTTGCTGATTATTTGTTATCAAGAGGCCTAAAATATACTTGTTTTCTCTATATCCCTTATCTCTTCAGCTGTATTGTGCTAATCCCGTGTATTTCTGAGGATTCCTCACTCATTTTAATCGTAACATGAAGATAAAATTTCCTGTTCACAGAGCCATTTTGAAATGCTCTTCCTCCTGTCAGCACTGCTTAAATCTTGGGACTAAGCATATTGTATTGTTACTCTCTGAGTGCTTAAAGAGACAAGTAGGTTATATTTCAGCCTGGAAAAGGTGAAGAGTCAAGGGACCAAATGAACTGTAAGCAAGAGGTGATGCTCAGAAGCAGGCATTAATTAGGTTGAACTAATGACCCACTTGCCTGGCCAGCTCTCGCCATCCAGCTGCAGTGCCACCTTCCTTTGGTCTTGTGGGTGATGCTTAGAAGTGGTGAAGCATTACGTGACTTGGTCCTTGCATTGGGTAGAACTGGAGCAGCCAGCGCGATGCTGGTGAGTGCTCTGAGTCCAGCACGTGGCTGGCCAAGATGCAGAGCTAGGGTGAGATCCAGCACTTGCAGGTTAGGGAGGAAACCAAGGGTAATGTTATGGAAGATGCACAGAGAGAGCACGTAAAATGATATTAATAAAATTATATTAATGAAAACATGGTTCGTTACAACTTTGGGTCAGAGGTATATATCAGGACAAGTTTGGGGGGAGCAGGAGGGGAGAATTACTTGACTGTACTTTTGTAGAGCTTTTCTTTTATAGCGTATAACAGAGACCTTGCTGCTTAGAGGTTAATGTGAAAGACCTTGGTCCCAACAGGAGTGTGATTTCTTTACAGAGGTGATGGGAAAAGAGTTACCTTTTCCTTTCCAAAATAAGGGGGAGTGGGAGGCTTCTGAGCTAAGCCCATGTCGGATTGGAAGCAGATGATCTTAAGGTCCTTTCCAACCTAACCCATTCTATGACTCTACATGAGCAGCCTTGAGGGAAGAGTAGGGGAAACGAAGACACAATACATCACACTGTGGATCTGAGGCTTGTTTGAGCAACTCACTCCTAATTGTGTTCTTATTATGCATCTTCTTCTTTTCCTTCAGCATCCGGTTCTTCATCTTGGCTGTCGTCAAACATTGCCTGGGCTTCTTCTAAAACACCATCTGGATCAGCCAGTTCGATCTGAATAGAAAGAATACAAATCATTTATGCAGTGTAATTGAAGAAGCATAAGGTTTTATAGATCTTGATTACTCGAGCAGCAACAGAGAAGCTCCCATGTATTAGGATTTTTTATTGCCACCTTTCAATTGCTGTTCTAGAAGCATGCTACACTTCCCTAATTTTATTGGCATGCTGAACATCACTTCATCTTCTTGGAATAGCTCTGTGTGAAGGGGACTGATTCTCCTTTAACAAAAGATATATTCTTCTCCCTTCAAAAGGTGATTACAGTCACCCAAGTGAGTGTTAAGGCTCCTGTTAAAGCAAGAGCCTGGAATCGAGTAACCAGACTGTGGCTGGATGTAGATTCTTGAGGGGGAAATGCCAAAGCCCTGGGGGCAATGTGTCATCTCACTCCGACCTGCTTCTATATCCTGATGCTTTCTGAGGGGTTCGTGTGAATGGTGGTCTTTCAGGTGGAAGATGTCCAGGTTTCTTACTGATTTTGTTAGGCTTTCTGAAGCCTTGGCTTCAGTAATTACAAGAGCAAATATCCCAAGTCCACCATGTTGTGTCTTTCCCCATCTCTGCAGTCATGTTTAAATTCTGCCTTGATGCAACCCCATCATCTATGCACTGGATTCCTTCAAAACTGATGACATTTGCTCTCTAGTTTTCAGGCATTTTCTGTCCTGTGCATCCCCCTCTGCTCCCTTTTCCTCCAGATGAGGACACACACTGATGCTTCTCCCATGAAGAAGCTCAAATCCTCACCTTGGCCTCTTGCAGGCAAAAGCTATTTAGTGCATGTCTGGTGTGGGCAGTTTCTAACATTGGCCCTACTCATTCTTTAACAGCTGCTTGTGACAGTAATTTAACAAAAGGTTTATGAAAATCTGAAGTCAATTATCCTTCTTTTATCTGTTACTTCCTTCATATTCTGAAATCAATAAATCTCTTCCACTGGAAAGCTCAATAACGGCCGTGAAAGCTGATGCTTTCTTTTTGCTTAGAGAGCAGAAGTGGGTCATAACTTGGTCTCTGTGGAGTTAAATAAACAGCTGGGGTTGAGCATCCTGCCTTGGCAAAATACTGACCCCTCCCAGGCTGTTTGGTGGGTTGTTGAGGCAGTTCTTGGGTGACCTTTAACAAATCTTATCAGATACATATTTTTAGCTGCAGAAGTACTGCTCTTTTCACTCTTTTTGCAAAACAGAGATTGTTTTCTCCCCTGTGAATATTTGGTGTTTGTTATTCTGTGCTGCTGTGGGTGTGCCTAGTACTTACAGGATTAACTGGCTTGTCAAAAATGCCTGTGCTCAAAGGGCCCTTGCTATAGAAACCAGCCTTGAAAAAAGAAGGGTAGATGTAACAGCTGTAAGCTTTTCACAGCCTGTGTGTGCTCAGTATCATCTGCAACAACCTTGTTCCTGGAGCAGATGAGGAAGGGAGGCAGCTTTTACCTGCCACGGGGCTGTGCCATTCCCTGTGTTATGGACTGTGTCCTGGTTATCCAGTGAGGTTCTGCTTGGCTCTAAGCAAAGAGGAGCTTCCCCACCTGTATCCTGCAGTAACTATCCCTTGGAATATAAAGCCTGTTTCACATGTGCAGCACAGGCTGTGGGCATTGAAGCTGAGACTTTTGGCTACTTGGACCCCTCCCCTGTCTGTTCCATACTGATCCCAGTCCCTGCTCTCCTCTGAGGGCATGGAGCTGGGGATAGGCTCTCCTAATCCTCTCATTCCTGCACCAAAGTGGTGTGATGGCCCAGCATGCCGCATGCCTTACTGGGAGGAGGTGGGATCAGCTCTTTCTCTACAGCCCCTGTCAGCCTTAAGGGAAAAGGGGAGTGGAAGCTGTTGGCTCTCAGACACCCAGCTGAGATGTCACCTTGGGGTAAGGTGGGCAGCTACATGCACCTCTCTAGCCATGGGGCTGCTGGATGTGGGTGAGCCCCTGACTAGCCCAGGTAAAGGAAACGGCTGACACTGGCATTGCAGCCACACACATTTCAGCTTGGTTTCGTTGGCTTTAGCACTTTGGCTTGCTGAAACCATCTGGTTTTGACGTAAATCCCACTATTGTCTCTGCCTCTATTGTCCCTGTTTCCTTTGTGCTGCTCCAAGTCTCTAAGCAGTTCTGGTGCATGAGAACTGCATTTTTTCAGATGTAGGTGAGTGGGAGGCTCCAGCAGTGGCTGATGAGTTGTTGTCCCTACAGGGCAATTTAGGACATTGCTGGCCAAAAGACACTGAGCACACGCCCCGTGAGCTGGGAATCCCATGGGAGCACTCACTTGAAGAGTGAAATGCTACCTGGAGAGCTTACCCAAGCACTCAGGAATGCAACATCACCAGCAAAACCAAGATTTCCAATTACCTTTGGGATTGGATATTGAGTAGGGGCAGGAGCTTCATCTTTGTTGAAGTCAATCACAAGTCCACATTTTGGCCTATCTGATTTCCAGATACCTTCCAACAGCTGCCCCTTATCCAAGTAGAAATATATCCCTGGGCCATGCTTTTTTCCATTTTTCCAGCTTCCTTCGTACCGATGTTCATTGGCTGCAATTAAATACATGAACAGACCATGAAATTTGCACCATTTCTTTAAAAGGCTACAAGCAAAATCGACCAACACAGGGAATGGACAGAAGAGGAAATGTGCTTAGCTCCTCTTAGTAACTTTAAGGGGGCTCTATTTGCTGGGCCACTGAGGGAGGAAAGGCTGTGGAAGGAGCCTACACTTGCCTGCTTGGCACACAAACTGTGTTCGCTTGCTTTGTTCTTCTCACAGTGATAGAATTTTTTTGCTGATATATGGAGCTCAGGGTAAGGGAGTAGTCACTGAGTCACTCTTTACAGCATGGGAAATTATAGGATGTAAGTTTTAGGTTTGTCACTGCAACAAATCATGCAGGATCTGTGGCTTGAAGAGGTTTGCTTGTCTGGGCATGGAACAGCAGCACTGTCTGACTGTTGTCCAGTCAAAATAATCTTGATTTCAAAGAATACTTGTAGCTATGTTTTTCCTCAATGAATTACAGGGCAAGAACTGCTGAGTGTCTGAATGGTTCCGGCAATCAGTTACAGGCTCTTTTTCCAGCTTTCTCAGTATTTTCCTGCAAGTTGAGAAAGGATTTTTTAAGGCTCTGTGCTGCTCTCCAGGAATCCATCCATCACCAACAGGAAAAACAGAACTGCAAAGGGAAGAGGGCAGCCTCATCCAGGGATGCTGGTTGAGAAAGGGCACCACAGCCATGGTAATGCTTTGGCTTGAGATACATCCAGGTCACCTTGTTGTCACTATGAGAGTCCTGTGCTGTCCCCTTCTTCTACATACAGTGTTTCTAAGCCAAAAACCCCAAAAACCATGGGGATTTCTGACCGAGTTGTTTAGTGGAAAGATCTTTGGGTCTTAGCTGAACTTGGCCATTCTTTGTGGCAAGAGCTGGCCAAAATACCAGGGCACCCCACACAGTGCCACAGAGGTAGCTGGGGACTGCCAGGCTCCTCAGGCAGGAGCTGGTTTACAGGCTGGAGCCATGGCAGTGGTTATCTTCAGCTTGGATCTGGTGGTGTGCTTATGTGCAACACCAACCTGCCCTGCCCACTGATGGGAGCAACTTCTGTTCTCCAGCCACTGACATCTCGGACACCACCAAAATCACAGACCTGGCTATGATGGAGGGACCACTGAATGCCCTGGCTGCCCCATGGCACCTGCCTGCCCCCTCCACTCTCCTCCTAGAGCATCCAAGAGCTGCATTGCTCTCTACTGAGATCCCTGCTGATGTGCAATGTTCTGGTTTAAAAGCCATTTGGCACTGGTCTGTAGCAGAGCAGTGCTCCCAGCCAAGCTCACCCTCGCCAGGCACGCTGCCACTGTAAGCAATTCAATCTTGAGCTGCAGCTCATCATGACCTCCGCTGAAGGAACTCAGTTCCTTTCAACATCTCAAAGCTGCAGGCACGTGGGCACACTTCCAGCAGGCTGAGCTGAATATATTGAGGTTGTGGGTATGAAATAATTGCTCTGGCTAATTTTAACCAAAAGGAATCTAGCTTGTAAGTAGCTCCAGGCTATGCTGGAGGCAACCAGGCTCTGAAATTGTTCATCAGCTGCAGCTCAGCCTGCAGGGGTTTTAAGGTTATAGCAATGACTTTGATGGGAACAAAGCAGATCAGTGGAAGGAGTGACCCCCGGAAGTGGGCGCTGACTTCATCTGGATGAGCCATCAGTCTGAAGTGACTTTACAGTCAGCAGAGAGAACACATTCATGCCTGTGATGTGCAGTCAAGGTCGTGCTCATTCCTCCCAGCTGCTTTGCTTAGGTAATTACCAGCCTTGAGATCACTTTCAAGCAAAAAATAGTATAGATGAATAATAAGAGAATATTTATCCAAATGTCCCTGGAATGCTGAGCTTGGTATTACAGAGGATTGGGATTCTTGGCTTTCTTTGCAGGAAAAAATGTGTTAAACTCCATGCAAAATAAGGGGAGGGAAAAAAACTCCAAATTCCTATTTTTATGCTGAGATAGCCCCAACATTCCCAATCTGTAATGTGCTCAGTGTTATTTCTGGGAAGGGACTGTGTATTCCTTGAGACAAGGAGGCACAAAAGCACAAAATGCAATCAGTTCTAAGTAATGTTAAGTTTGATGGCTTTGTAATGGAAAACAACTGCAGTGCTTGAAGGTAGTTGACATAATTTCAGGCACTTAGGACCTTAGTACAAAAGGTGTAAGAAAAGCAGAATAGAAAAACAGGACCTGGGGATGGGGAATATCTGGGACTAGCAGATGTCCAGGATGGGCACAGTTAAACTAACTGGTAAGTAGAAGGACAGGGTGATTGCTATGTTCGTGGTGTTAATAAACCCATTAAGCTGGTGTAAACATCTACTGGGGAGTATCCAGGACTAGCAGATGTCCAGGATGGGAGCAGTTAAACTAACTGATGAGTAGAAGGACAAGGTAATTGCTACGTCTGTAACGTTAATGACGCTGGTTATGAAGATTGGTGGGAAAAGTAAAGGACCCTTAAAGGCCACCATCACATTTTTGTATGCATGCGGGAAACTTTCTGGAAAATGATGTAAATCATGTGTAGCCTCATAAATATCTATGTATGCCCAGTGACCATGTAAGGATGACCTGTATAGCAATACGGGGACACACGTTAGGAGGAGCTATCCGCCATGTCTCCCGGGGCCGCAATATAGAATACCTGCTCGTCAACTTGAAACTCTGTTGGCGAGTTTGTTCCTGGAGTTTTCTCCGAATCATCCTGAAACCCCTGAGTTCACTTAACATGAGCCAGTGTTGGAAGAGAGGGGATGGAGTGAACTCAGAAAGAAAACTTCTTTTTTTCTGCGCTGGAAACTGGACTCTTTGGCATGCACCAGTTAGAAAGCATGTCTGGCAAAGTGCCTGGCTTGAAAAGAGAGATTTCTTTGCCTTAACAGTACGTTATCTCTAACCCTAAGCATCCCGGTCATTTAAATGTAAATCACAGCAAAAACAAGCTTTCAGGCATGTGGGCTTAAGCTGGCCCTTGTGCAGCTTGCCATGCCTCAACCCAGGAGGAAAATACAACATGGAGCAGGCACAACCCTGGTGCAAGGCTGCAGCAGGAGATGTGATGTAGCATACAGAAATCCGGATGGCAGAGACATCGAGAGAACAGCAGGGAGCAGGCAGATTCCTGGGGTGAGGACGATTGGTACTTACGTAGATGCAGCGTTCCCTGCCCGTGGGGCTTGTCCAAGAGCCATTGTCCCTCATAGACAGATCCATTCAGGTAATTCATCCGTCCCCAGCCACTCCGCAGTTCAGCGCTCCACTCACCCTCATAGCGCTCCCCATTGGGGTAGATCATCAGCCCATAGCCCTGGAAATCAGCACAGATATAACTATTAGGATCCTCTGTATTGACAGAGTTGGTCTTCAATTTCGGGATTATCACTGTCTTGATACACTACTCCTGTGCTTGTTGCTCTGTCACATGGCTGCTGGCAGCCCAGCTGGGTGGCTGGTCTTGTGTTGAAGGAAACAAGAGGTGGTGGTATGGGATTTTTGGGGCAAGTGGTTTTATTCCCATGACAAAACCACAGGTTTATATCTCATTGTGTTATTATTGGCACAATTGACACTAATATTTAGCTAAAAGCAAGTTCTGCTAGCATGTAAACTGGCCTGGGATAGGCCGCATTAAAAAGAATCTCTCAACATGGGGAGCTCATGCCTTTCAACCTTGATTTCCTACTGGGACACACCAGGCTTGCTACTGCCTGGTGTGTCCCAGGCCAGGCAACTCCTTCCCCTGGCGCTGGGCACACCAAAGTTCTCTTACCATCTCCTCCATCTGTACCCTCCAAAGCAGTAATGTCCTAAAGAGCCTCTCACTTTGCTTCCTACTTCCCAAGGAACTAGAGCCATGCCTGAAGGCTGCCTGTGGTGTGACCAGCCAGCTCAGGCAGCACTGCCGTGTGTGCCTCCCCCAAGCCAGGCCAGGCACCATCACAGCAATGAATATACCCTGTGATATTACAAGAGACTGGAGCTATAGAGCTGCATGCCAATTAGAAGGCTACGGTTTTAAGAGCAGACACAAAGGTGAACACAAGAATCATTCCTAAAAGGATTTTGCACGAGATTGCAGTTATTTTACCAGATGACTTCCTCATTATGTTCCCTTTAAAAAAACAGTGATTTATGTGACAGGCTTATTTTCCAAAAGAACTCATGTTATTTGTCTAATGTGCTGTAAAAGGTACATTTTCCTGCAGCACTTATAACACAGGTTCCTCCAACTGCTTCAAGGATGAGAGGAATGAAAGGGATGGGTGGGGAGGGTTAAGATATGGAATATGAAACCTCTTATCCTGCTTGTCCAGGCTTCAAGAGAGTCTGATCAGTGATCACTGCTCTTTGGTAGCTGGAGAGAGGTTGGGGCTGTAGCCTGATCACCAGGGATGGGTGGGATGAGCTCCCCTCCAGTGGGGACACAGAGGGCAATGGTGTGTTCTCAGCCACACTTGGCTGTTTATGAATGATGGATATTTACTCCTGAAGCTTCCTGAGCTTTCTGTAGGTTCAGACTAAGATGTAAAGAAAACCCAAGCCTGGAGGAAAGGCTGTTCCCATAGCTTCTACCTGGAGACACGCTGCTGCTTCCCTACTGCCAGACGTGGGACACAGTGCAGCTCTTGCAGCATCTGACATGGAGAAACGAGTAACAGCAGGAGCAGTGAGTTGGGGAGGGCAGGGGAAGAGGGCTTAAAGACCAGAGCTTTTACTCTTGCTTTCATTTCCTTTTTTCCCCACTCACTTGTTTAGCCAACCCCCCCTCAATTCAGCCTCAGTATTGGAAAAATTAGTATTTTAAGTGATCTTTTTGGACATGTGCACCTACCTCTTCCCCATGTTTTGGGAAACACTGCTTCAGCACTGGCATGCACAGGAAATATCACTTACACATTTTTGGTCGTTTTCCCACCAGCCTGTGTACACCCTCTTGTATTGCTTGGTTACAGGGTCAGGAATGCTGTATGAGCCATAACCATCGCGCTTCCCAAACTTCCAGTCACCGCTGTAAATAGCTCCAGTGCTTTTCCATTTCTGGATGCCTTTGCCTATTTACCAAACAAGTAGAACAATGGGATTGTTATGAGAAGGGATTGTTAGAAGGGATTACAGGGCTGCCTTCCTACAGTTCCATCCCAGGCGAGGCAGCACTCCCTGAACCAAGGCAGGTTTAGGTCTGGGATTCGGTTTAGCTTCCCAAGTTGGAACCATCATTAATCTTGATCAGGGGCTTCCTGTGTGTCCTTTGCTGAATGCACTTAAATCTTTCCAAACCTCAATTTACTGCCTGTAAACAAGCCTGTCCTGCTCTGGCACTCAGGGCTCAGTCAGGGTCTCTTTCCCCTTCTCTGTCTCCTGCAGAACCTGCCACAGCTTGAGGATACATGAATATTCCTGTAGCCAAGTCAGGAACCAGGAGAGCTCCAGGGACTGTGCAGCCAAGGCACATGCCGGTATGTGGAGCTGACTGCAGCTTGCTGTGTTTGCAGAGGATTTTTGGACATTATAACCTAGATATTTTGGGTAATTGCCTCTGAGTGCATGTAAAAGCTCTTCAAGTTACCATTCAGAAGTATTTCTGAGTACACTTTTCCATGACATATATCAAAACCATATAGAGATACATGAATGAATGCTCTTCCAGGAGCATATACAAACCCTGATCACTCCCTGCCTCTAGGAACAGCCTAGGACACCTAAATTGGTACTCTTCCTCAAAATGATGCATCTTACCATGTTTCAAGTTGTCTTGCCATTCTCCGGTGTACTTATCTCCATTTGCATCATAAACTGTGTGTCTTAATCCATGTTTCTGTGCTTTCCGGTCCCGTTCATGCCAGAGAGGCTCTCTAGTTCTTGTTTTTTTTACAGCAGGCATATTGTTCCTGGCTGGAGAGAAAAACAAACTGTTGTTAGCAATAAATTCGAAATTACTAAGTCAGGTACAAGCAGAACAGTCTATTTGTGAGCTCTGTTTCAATATTCACACAAGTCAGTAACTGATGTTTTGGAGGGGTAAAACAGAGAACAAACAGAAGGTATTTAAAGATACCAAAGTACAAACCAGCACTGTCTGAAAACAGGCTCACAGCACAGCCTGGCCTGCTACGAGATCTTAAATAAGTCTCAGCAGGTCGAGTCTGTGGTGGGTATCAATCTCTGTGCCTGCCAGATGCCTTGGGAAGCACAGGGAAGAGCAGCCTCTCCTCTGTACAGCTGAAACCTTGCTAGGCTCTTTCCCATGGCTGCTCCTCCAATGGCTCTGCATGAAGCAGAAGCAGTCATTTAATCAAATTGGAAAATGATTCGTTTGCTAGGAAATTGGAAAGCGTTCATGAGATGGAGCAGGTCAGAGAGTTGCCAGTGTCCCTAGGGCCACCAGGAGCTGGGACACTTCAGATGCCCAGCAGCAATGTAGCTAAACCTCTTTTACTGCTAAAAATATCCTGCAGGTATCTGGTTAAGAGGGGTTAAACCCACAATGTTTCTATGTACCACGAGGCTGCAGCTTGCCCAGGGCAGGATAAGCAAGCTGCCAGAGGTGGTCTCCTACAGACCATACATAAAACGCCACAAAGTGGCTGTAGATACAAAAAGTTTCTATGAAGGCCGACAATACCCAGAGCTTGGCTGGAGCTGGCTGGGTGGGTGGGATGCCCTCTGATTTTGACTCCCCGGCTCTCCCTCCTGTCCTGAGCTTCTGGGCAGAGCCATTGTCGTGGTTTAAGCCCAGCCGGTAACACAGAACCACGCGGTCGCTCGCTCACTCCCCCCCACTTCTGCCTCCCCCCACTCCCAGACGGATGGGGAGGAAAATAGAACGTAAGTCCCGCGGGTTGAGATAAGAACAGTCCGGTAACCGAGGTATAATACGAAACTACTACTACCACCAACAATAGCAATGATAAGGGAAAACACCAAAGGGAGAGAAAGCAACTGCTCACCACCGGTCGACACACAACCGTACCCTATCGGCGATCTAGCACTTCCGGGTACCGACCCCAGCTTATATACGGGGCATGACGTACAGTGGGATGGACTTAGGCTAGTTTGGGTCAGGTGGTCTCTCTGCTTCTTCCCGGCTTTCCCTCCTCCCTGGCTGAGCGGGAGATTGAGAAAGTGCTGGGTCGGAGTAAACATCGCTTAGCAACAACTGAAAACATCGGTGTTACCAGCGTTGTTCCCAGACTGAAGTCGGAAACACAGCATTGCACCAGCACTTCTTAGTAAAGAAGGAGAAAAATGACTGCTGCTGCTGAACCCAGGACAGATCTATCCAGTGATTTTGTTGTTTCTCTCCTTTCTTAGAGCAGAGCTCACACGCCTGCTGTGCTGTGAAGCCAGCATGGGTGAAAGCATGGGAGCCTGGGAGGAAAGGGGAAAGGAGGGGTTTTTGGATCCTTGCTAGGCGAGAAAAGCTAGAAGTTTTAACTAAGAAAATACAGTTTGTGTTCATCCTCAGTTCTCCACGTGGCTGTGGAAATGGTCATTCAACAGCTACTTGGAGGGATATCATTGTTAAAAAATGTACTTCTGTGCCCATGATGAGCCCCCCCCCCCCCCCCCCCTAAAACGCAGCTGAGTTGTGATTCGGAGAAAACTCCAGGAACAAACTCGCCGACAGAGTTTCAAGTTGACAAGCAGGTATTCTTTATTGCGGCGCCGGGAGACACGGGGGATAGCTCCTCCTAACGTGTGTCCCCGTATTGCTCTACAGGTCATCCTTATATGGTTACTGAGCCTATTACATCATTTTCCAAAAGGTTTCCGGCATGCATACAAAAATGTGGTGGTCTTTAAGGGTCGTTTACTTTTCCCAACAAGGTTAATTAACATTACAGACATAGCAATCATCCTGGCCTTCTACTTATCAGTTAGTTTAACTGCTCTCATCCTGGACATCTGCTAGTCCCAGATACTCCCCATCCCAGGTCCTGTCCTTCTATTCTGCTTTTCTCACACCTTTTGTACTGAGGCCCTAAGGGCCTGAAACTATGTCAACTACCTCCAAGCACCGCAGTTATTTTCCATTACAAAGCCATCAAACTTAACATTACTTAGAACTGATTGCATTTTGTACTTTTGTGCCTCCTTGTCTCAGTTGGGCAGTGCGTGTCCCACATGGCTCCTTCCCATGGGGCTGGGGGAGTGCAGGAAGGGCGGGGGAGCACAGGCAGGGCTGGGGGACATGCCTGGGTGACGGCTTGTCAGCTCGGACCCAGGGAGGGGTAAGGGTTCTTGTGGTCATTCCTCTTTTAGCTTTCCAACCTTAAGAAGAGGGGGGAAATTGAAGACCACCATATTGCCAGCCCTTGAAGCAGATGGTTTGGGGATGGCATTGTCTGCGATAGCAGAGGAGGATTTGGCAACTGAAGTCCCCTGGCCATGTCGCTCACCTGACTACGATGGTTTGAGGGCACCGAGGTCAGGATCTGTCCTTTGTAATGATGGAGTTGCAGCCTGCTTCAGAGGATGGTCTTTCTGCAGTGCAAACACAGGATACATCACAGCTGTGTTATAAAAATCTAGCCAATCTGTTTTAATTGATTTTTATTATAATTAATATTGAGAGACAAGAAGCAAGCAGCACTGGGTGCATCGGGGAGTCTCCACCCTGCCCGAGACACACAAAGGGAACTTGTGTGGATAGTCTCTTATACTTTTTGGTTTCCTGGGCTTCTTGGGTTTCAGCCAATCCTGTTGTCTTCTTTTCCCGGGTTTCTCCACCTGTTACTGGGGTCTTGACTCCAGGTGAAGAAATATTATGTCTATCACAAGTCTGACTGCCATTTTAGCCCCCATAAATTCCACTCCTTATGTGTTTTATTTGTTCAGTGCACAGATTTCACAACATTCTGTAACAGGACATATCTCTAAGTTACCTACCCCCCCCCCCCCCTTTTCCCCTTTTCTAAGAACATTCATGCAATTTAAACAATTAACAAAACATTTCTTTGCACAATATTGCAGTTGACCCAGGGGAATTATTCCCCTGTTTCTTCTTCCTCCTCACTTATCATACCCTTTGCACATAGCACAATGATCACAAGGGATTCCATCTCCACACAAAGTGCAATGATCACTAGGACCCCTGAGTTGCTGACACGAATCACTCTGATGTAACTCACAGCTGCTAAGTTCCTCCTTCACCTCTGTGTGCTGCAACCCCTCGAGAAGGGGGCTCTTGACAATATTTGTCAAGGGCCGGGGGGTTGCAGAACGGAGAGCTGTATGTTTTCATCTCATTTCTGACTTCCCCTTGCTGAGGGAGCAGAAGAGCCAAACTACAGCTGCATGCACCCACCCCAACATGGTCTATGACACCCAAGTATCTCATGGCTGTGAAGAGGGACATCCTCACCACACCCAGATGGGAGCATCACCGCCCCACCACCGCATCTGACCACTTCTTTAGCTCAAACCTTAGGATTTAAAAATCCCAGGGATGATTCCCAGCTGCAGGGGCAGCCACAGCACCCCACTATGCCCTCCAAGGCACAGCTGACACTGAGCACCCAGGGCTTTGCAGGCTGGTGGGAGCCAACTTTGTTTGCTGAATCCCTTTCCAAGTTTATGACAGTGATACCAGGTTTGTGTAAGTGATAACGTAACTGGTATTTGTCACCCGGGATGTTTTTAGCCACCCACTGCAAGGGTGTGGGGAAGCTGGCAGCGAGAACTGGCAGCGCAAGGTCGCTCCAACCTCCTAGCAGTGGCTGCAGCTCTCAGTGCTGACGGCTAGAGGCTGCTCCTCGCATGTGTTTCTGCAGCTGACGCTGCGCTTGGGGGTGATCTTACAGAGCCCCGTGTCCTCCTCCAGACAGTGCTCTGAGTTTCATCAGGTCTCTGTTAAATGCAGCTTCAGTTGGCACAGCCTGCAGGAAACCTATTTTTTTCCGTCTTTTCACAGAACGCCAGAGCAATGTGATTATCTAACAACCATACTTTTTTTTCCATCTTATATCTTAACGAAGAGCAAGATGGAGAATACACCTGGCTTCATAGAAGGGGCAGCACCCTGCCTGCCACCACACCGCATCCCCGCCTGCAACCTCTGCACCAGCTCTGCCTGACCATTACCCAGGCCTGGGTGAGTTCACCCCACTCACTGACCCCCACACCACACCATCGTCCTGCGCCAGAGTCCCTTTGCCGGCAGCCTCCGGCACAGCCGAGCCCCCCCCAGCCACTCCTCGGCCTCATGGTGGTGCCTCTGTGTGGAAAGCTCAGGCTGCCGGAGCAGCTATGGGAGCGGATGATGGGGAAAGCCCATGTGCTCAGTTTGAAAAGCACCTTCAAGCCTGGCACACCCCAAAAGCCACCCTATGAACACTGACCTGCGCTGGGTTCAGGCTGGGTGCTGCGGCTGTATCGTCAGGGTCGTCATAGCAACTCTGCCAGGCTCCTGCGCGAAGGGTCATGGGAGCGGCTGGATTGCGGCTGCGGATGGAGATGGATGTGGTGGTACATGGGGAGCACGAGGGATGGAGCCGGAGCCGTTAAGCGCACGCCACTCTGTGGAACTGTGTGTTTGATAGTTAAGGATTATCCTGCAGGATATTGAAAAGCTGATAAGGACCAAGTGTTTCACCTCTGCTTGTTCTTTTTAGTACGTGCAGCAGCAGAAGGCTGGAAATGAAAGCACTGATTACAGTACTGATGGGTAACAAAGAAATCAGCCTTGCAAATGTCAGAAGACAAAGGAGAACCCACCTGAAAATGCACATCAGAATGCTTAAAAGAGAAATCTGAATAAATCTGACACTAATTCCCACGTCCATTACCCTTCTCCATTACCCAGTCCCAGAGAGCAGGCGTTGCTATTATGGTCTTGTGGGTGTCTGTAATAATCTTCCCTAACAGGTAATTAACAGTGCATATTTCAAATATAAACCAAAGTTCTTGTGTCACTCCCATGAGCCAAAGGTACTTGTTTATTCCCATCCTTTTACCACATTTTTGGTACACAACACGGTGTACCAGGGTGGATGGTTAGATGCAGGCTGGATGGTAGAAATTTTGAGATAGGTGGGGGATGTTGGAGCCTCTGCAGAGGTGGGATACAGCTTGGTATTCCCTGATGGGTACCCATTTGCCATCTTCAGTGTCTGTAGTATTAAAGGTGGCTTAAACACTGTATCCACACTTGAGTAGGACAGAAGGTGCTCAGGAGGGGACGGTGCATGGGGTAATGTGCATTTTCAACTGGAAGCAGGGAAAGATCTTTCAGGTTTGATGGCAACAGGGAGTAACAGGGAATATGGGAAATAGTGAAACTGTAAGGCTGTTTCATCCAGGACTGTCTCTGCTGCAGTCAGGATGGGCAGAGGATTTGCTGGTGCAGCTGGATGGCTCTGCATCTCCCTAAATCCAGGGATGCAGGATGCAGGTGGAAGTCAAAGACTTCTCTAAACAGGAAAACCAAACAGAAAACTATGGAAGTTGACGAAGTTAGGAAATACTTATACAAGAGAAAATATTTCCTGTTACTAAAATGAAATGAAGATGCTCAGGAAGGATTTATTCCCACTCATCCACTTAAACATGCTCTGGTTTTGGGCAGAGCCTAAGAATTACTGAGGACAATCATTCCTGTGTTTTCCTGTGGCCAGTTGTATGGGGGAGAGTGGGGACAGGGGGTTGTGAAGGAAATGAGAGAAACCCATGAGGGAGAAGAAAAAATGCTTACTGCAGCCCAAAAACTACAGCCTTAAATTACAACCAGAAATAGCCCCTTCAGGAAAAGTACAATTTTGAATATTTCAGCCCTGTATTGCACTGCAGTAAACTGAGGGTTTGTCAGTTGAAATAATCAGCTCATTCAGCCCATTTAACTTGTTTATTTTTAAACAGCACAGGCTGCCCAAGGTTTTTGAACTGCAAGTCCAAGCTATGTATCACCCAGCCACAGCTTTTGCTGACCAAAATTATAGACATGTTTGAAACTCAATAAATATTTACTTGATCCATGACTTACAGAAATACGGACTGATAGTGGCAGAGGAAAAGGGTCAAACAAACCCACCTTGGCATTATTTAGGGTGGAAGTTATATGAATATCTGTGGACTTACGGTATGGTCATCAGGAGCTGTTATTCTGACTCAGCTGCATTGAACTCATATACTGAATCCACCAAGTTTCCGGCCTCTTTCCTGGTGGGATCCATCACCACTACTCAGCAATAATGGTACTGATTGGATCAGTGGAGTCTGGCTGGCGTCGGATGGTGCCCAGTTGAATGACTCACGTGAAATGAATACCTCATTTCATGTAAGTGATTGGTTTCCCCTTTGCCTAAAAATTAATAATGACACTGAGAACAGTTGTGTTCAAATACAACCTCAAAAACACTTGATTGCTTGGGAAGGTCAGATTCGTCGTTCATATATACTTGCCACTATTCCAGGAATAAAAGGGGACGAATATCAATTTAATAAAACATCCTGGGCCAGGCAAATTCCTAATCTCTCTCATTGTAGACTTAGCAAATCTACCTCACCTATGACATGGAATGCGTGCCTGGGAAGGTATCCTAGAAATCAAACACCAGCAATGGATGCAGTGATCAGTTGGGACCCTTATGGACAATTATAGGATAGAGAACTAAATACCACAGTACCCTTCGGTAAACATAACCACAGTTTGGCATAGCATAACAGGGGATCAGCAGGAGCCGCGTTGCAATTTTTTGAGTCTTTAAATGGTGCAGCATCAGCTTTGAAAACACATATTTGGAGACTGGGTTTTGCCTTTATGGAAAGGCAATTGAAACATTTTATATTTATGTAATGTCATAGCCAGTGTAACAAAAGCAACTAAGGAGAATGCTGTTATTTGTGTCACGCATCAGTATATTTTTGCTTTGGCTAAAGATTTAATGATTGTTAGGAAAAATCACTCGTATCATATGAATCTAACTCATGTAAGTTATCACACAGGTGTCTCTAACCATATTAGAAGGCAATCTTTTAAAAATCTGATTGTATTACGAAGACGATCTGAAATGTGGATTCCTGTGAATTTAACAAATTGTGGATTTAATAAAATGTGGATTCCTGTGTCATTGGGAAGAAAGTGATGGGTTAAGTCATTTTACTAGGATATTACAGGAAGAATTAGGTTCCCCTAGGAAAAGAGTAAAGTGTTTTCTAGAATGCTTAATATTTGCCATTGTATCCGCCATCGTTATTTTAACCTCTACCACAGTGGCAATAGCAGCCTTAACTGAGTCCATTCGAACAGCAGAAACGGTAAGAGAGGTATTGACTGATATTATATCAGAATTACAAACACAGGAAAATACTGATGAAGAAATATTGGCTCAATTACAAGCTTCAGAAACAGCTGTCGTGTGGATAGCAGATCGGCAGTCAGCCATGTAAACGCAATTGTCTTTGCAATGTGATTGGGAACATAGAGCAGGAGAAATGTGTGTTGCATCCTTACCCTGGAATGAATCAGAACACGGCTGGGAGGCCGTTAAACAACACTTACAAGGAACCTTTGACTTTTCCTTGCAAACAAATATTCAATTGTCGCATGATTTCGAGGCCACTGCAAAAAGTAGGGTCAAAATCCAGGTTATGATGGGCTGGGAGGAGAACTTGGTTTTGCTTTGGTGCAATTTCCTTTGTTCCAGCTTTTTCAGCCAAAATTAGGCCCCAAATCTCCTTCTTGGCTGGTTTTTAATTATTATTTTTAAAACTGCTTTCTTGTTTTACTCTCATAGACCTTGACCACTGAGGAGCGCCAGCACAGCTTCCTCCACCTGGGATTGATGTAGCTTCAGTTCTGTTGTTGTTCGTACCATTATTGCTTCAGTTGTCTGGCATTTGATTAAACTCTACATTTATTAAGACCAAAAAGAAGCTCTTAAAACAGTCATGGTAAATCATACTTTTGGTTAGCCCATGAATCTGCCAATACAATTCATTGCAATAGACTTTCAGCTCTCAACTTTCTTCCAGGTTGGACACACTGAAGAGCAAACTGAGCAATGGGGAGGGTGTGTGGGGAAACATGCCCAGAAACACTTCATTTGTGGAGCAAGGTCCCACGACATGTGATGTTTAAAGAGGAAGGGCTTTTTTCAGTTACATAAACCCAAAGGACCTCAGTATTCTGAAACCAGTCATTTCTGCAATGAAAGGAGGCAGCTGCTCCAAGCTAAGTTTGGTCTCACAAAGCTTGGGGAATCACCCAAGTGAAATGCCCAAACCAACTGAAAACTGACAGAATCAATAACTTAAGTTTATTTTGGGAACTTTGTAGAATAAATAGAAGGAAAATGTTTAGAGGAACATATGTTGGAATTCTTTAAAGGTGAGAAATGTGACAACAACATACTGTGGAAGTAGGATGCTCAGATGTGTGTCTTATTGCTGCTATATTCCAAAGAAAAGCCAGAGGAAGAGGTGGGAGGGTCTTGGACACCAACCAAGTGTATGTCAGGTTTAGCTGGATCAGCACCGAGTGGGTGCAACACTGAAGGAGTTACCCCACCACTCTGTTTCTAAGACTTACTATTAGCAGGGTTTAGGATGAATAGGAAGAAGTGGAAGGTTTGAGATGTAAATGTCTCTGGTTGACTTCGGCTTCAGAGGCAGCCTTGTGGGAAAGGGTTTCTTTCCAAGTCTCCCCTCCTTTTTGGTGGGAGCAGCTCTCCCAGGGTACAAACCACGTTGGGCTGCAGTTTTCCACAGGCTTTCTGGATTAGCGAGTATCCTCTTCCTTTCTGCAGGCTCTGCCTTAAGGAGAGCACTGATCTGAAAACTCGGTGCAAAGTTAAAGAATGAACGTTTATTAAGGTTATTTGAGCCTCTTCTTTCAAGAAATCTGGTTTTGGAGCATGTTTGAGTTGTGGAATGAAAAACTGCAGAAGTTGATAGTTAAATAAAATGAATGCTGAGAATGTGGATATGGGAATGTCAGTCACTCAGGGCTATAGCCAGTGATACATAACTGATGTGATATTTTATTTAATAACTCCTAGCTCAGAAATTAGAGTCCTTTTAAAATTGATAAACATAATTAAAATATGCAATTTGTATTCCTGGCATGTCAAACTACGTTCATCATAATAAACAAATTCTCTAGATCAAGTTAAAAGAATTCACTGTTATTTTACCTTGCTTTGGTTTTATTCCCGAAGATGTGATTGAAATAATGAGATTATACAAACAGCTGTGATCTCCCAGGAGGTGGAAAGACATCACAGGCTCAGCTGAGGGGAGCGATGGTCGAGGGAAGCGTGGCTGAGGGGGGCGATGGCTGAGGGGAACATGGCCGAGTGGAGTGATTACTGAGGGGACTGTGGCTGAGGGGAACAATGGCTGAGGGGAGTGTGGCTGAGGGGAATGCTGGTAGAGGGGAACGATGGCTGAGGTGAGTGATGGCCAAGGGAAGCGTGGCTGAGGGGGGTGATGGCTGAGGGGAGTGATGGCTGAGGGGAGCTATGGCTGA